TGGCATGTATTCCAATTGGTCCTGGTCCTTTGCTCTCCTGGGCATTTATCCCGGAGAAATAAACAAGTTCACACAAATGTCCATAGACAAATGTTCAAAGCAACTTTATTCACAATAGCCACAAACTGGAACCAACCCAGGCATCCTTCAATAAGGGAATGGTTAGACAAATTGTGTTCCATCCATCCACAGAGCATCTACTCTGCAACTGAAACAAACTATTCACACTTGCAGCAACTTGAAATGACTCTGGGAAATTACACTTAAGTGTTGGGGGTGGATCCCCAAAGTTTACCTAGTCTCTGACTTAGTACATAGTCTTTAAAAAGAATACTTATGGGGGCTGGAGAGATGGCTCAGTGGTTAAGAGCACTGGCTGTTCTTATAGAAGACCCAGGTTCAGTTTTCAGCACCCACGTGGCAGCTAACACCTGTACACCTGTCCATAACTCCAGTTCCAGGGGACTTGACCCCCTCTTCTGACCTCCATGGGCATTGCATGACACGGACATACTTACATACATGCAGGCGAGTCACGCATACACATAAAATAAAAATAATATTTTTTAAAATACTTATTTTTATTTATGTGTATGTTTGTAAATGTGTGTGAGCAAGTGTCTGAGATGGCCAGAAGAGGGCGTCAGATGCCCTGGAGCTGGAGTTACAGGTAGTTGTGAGCTGTTCAATTTGGGTTTTGGAAACTGAAGTCCAGTCCTCTGCAAGAGCAGCAAGTGCTCTTAACCACTGAGCCATCTCTCCAGCATCCCCCCACCCTTTAAAAAAAGTTTACATTTATTTGTGTGTGTGTGCACGTGTGTGTATTGCACACACTTGCCATGGTGTACCTGTGAAGGCCAGAAGACAGTCTGTGGAAGTTGGTTCTCTACTTCTACTATGTGTGTCCCAGGCATTGAACTCAGGTTATCAGGCTTGGCAGCAAGCACCTTTACCCACTGACTCAACCTGATGGTCCTTAATATGGGATATTGTTGAAATGACAAAATTAAATAGAAATAGAGAGCAAGTTGGTAGTAACCAGGGGTAAAGGAAAGGATGAGGCTTGGTAAGCAGGTGCAGGTGGCTGGGAACAGGGAAGGCAGATTATTGTACCAAGGAAAATGCTTTGGATCTCGACTGTATTATATCAATATCTTGCCACCAACATTTCACAAGAAGTTTCTAGGAGAAGAAACTGGATAAAGAGTACACTGGCTATTTCTGACACTTGCATGGGAACTTTTAATTATCTCAAAATTAAAGGTTGAAAATTTGGGGGAGCTGGAGAGATGGTTCAGAGGTTGAGAGCACTGGCTGCTCTTGCAGAGGACCTGGGTTCTGGGTTCAGTTCCCAGCATCCACATGGTGGCTAACAACCATCTATAACTTCAATTTCAGGGAATCCAATGCCCTATTCTGGCCTCCACAGGCACTACATAAATGTGGTGCACTTACATTCAGGAAGGCAAATACTCATACACATAAAATAAGAGTAAATAAAGCAAACAAAATTTTAAGCTAAAAAATTTTAAAGACATTTGGGAACTGAACATATTTCTCAGTGGTAGAGATTTTGCCTAGCATGCCTGAGGCCCTGGGTTCAGTCCTATTTTTAAAATTTTAATTTTTTAACTCTGTGTGTGTGTGCATGTGTGTGTGTGTGGTGGGTATGTGCATGTAAGTGTAGAGTACAGGTGCCTGCAAGTGCCAGAAGAGGGTGTCAGAGCCCCTGAAGTTGGAGTTATAGGTAAGTTGTAAGCCACCCAATGTGGGTGCTAGCAACCAAACTTGGGTCCTCTGCAAAAGTAGCACTTGCTCTTAACTGCTGAGCCATCTCTCCTGTGAGATATATATATGAATGATATACAAAATGCAACCCATAATTTGTAGTAGACTTAACAGGCACAAATTCCATCAAAATGTTTACACTCTGCTCTTCAAAAGATACCATTAAGAAAATGATTCCAGGGGCTGGAGAGATTGCTCAGTGGTTAAGAACACTGACTGTTCTTGCAGAAGACCCGGGTTTGATTCCCAGCACCCACATGACAGCTAACTGTCTGTAACTCCAGTTCCAGGGGATCCAACAGCCTCTTCTGTCTTCCGTGGGCATTGCACGACATGGGTGCACTTACATACATGTAGGCATAACATTCATACACATAAAATAAAAAGAATAAATAAAATATTGAAAATAAGAAAGAAAATGATCCCAGGGATCTGTGTACCCCTCCAGACTTTGCAGGATTAATGCATCTCTCAACTCTCACCAGAGAAACTTCCTTATGCAGTGGATGGTGATTAACACAGAAACCCACAACTGGTCAGCATGGAGAGAACAGAGGCTACAGAGGGCTTATCCCTAAATGGGACACCTATATCAAACTTCTGCCTCCCAAGGCTCAGGGATCATCACAGAAGAGGGAACAGAAAGACTTTAAAAGCCAGAAGTGGTAGACAACCACAAGGAAACAGGGTTTCCAGACAGCTGGGAAGTAACTCATATGAACTCACAGCAACACACAAGTCCCATGTAAGCTCAAACCAGGCAAAATCCCAGCATAGATGTGGGGAAATGGATAATAAGCCCCAACCCTACCTGAGGAGCTATTGGCTACCAATGGCTGCTGGGAAGGGGAGAAGCGATCTCTTTCAAGGATGGGACTCTTGATAGGTTAATCGGGCTCCAGTGATGAACCCACACTGAAGGACATTTGGGGACACAAATTAGACTCTGTAGTCCTTATTATATATATAAGTGCATTAAAGTGAGCGGGAGATAGTAAGGAAAGATGTGGATAGGGGAAGGGGTCTAAATACCATGGAAATGGAAAAACTTCAATAAAAATTTTAAAGAAGGAGAAGGAGGGAGGGGGAGGAGGCGGAGGAGGAGGAGGAGGGGATCCTAGCATGGTGGTGCATGGCTGTGAGCCCAGTGACTCAGGAGCCCAAGGCAGGAAGATCTGAAGTTCCAGGTGAGTCTACAATTCATAATGAGATCCTATATTTAAAAAATGAATAGAGCTGGGTGTGATGGAGCACACCTTTAATCCTAGAGGCAGGCGGATCTCTGGGAGATTGAGACCAGCCTGGTCAAGTTCCAGGCCAGCTGGGGCTACAGGAAGACAGTCTGAAAAATAAAATAAAATAAAATAAAATAAAATAAATTTAAAATGATAGGAGCTCAGATGCAGCTCAGTTGGAAGGTTTACTTAGCATGCATGACACCCCGTGGGTTCAGTCCGCACTGTATAAACTTGGTATGTTGAGGCATGCCTGTAATCCCAGCACTGGGGAGGTAGAGGTAGGAGGATCATAAGTTCAAAGTCATCCTGGGCTACATAGTGAGTTTGAGGCCAGCCTGGGCTACATGAGAGCCTGTCTCAAAATACACACATTCATACATACATACATTAAAAAAAAAGTCAAACCAAAGATTGAGGAAAAATAGTTGAGCTATATAGAGATCTCTGACAAGGATCTGTTTCAGAATATATATATAAAGCTTTTAGAATTCAGTAAATACAGTTAGAGCCACAGTGAGACATGATTTCAGAACTGACAACATGGCTAAAATTAAAAAGACTGACAGAGCCAAGTGTTACCGCATACGTGGGCAACAGATCTGTCAGAGGCTGCTGTGTGGGGATGGAACACGGCACAAGGCCTTTGGAAAACTGCCTAGCAGTCACATCTAGAAATCTATCCAAGAGAACTGAAGGCCTGTATGCACAAGAAAACTGGTAAACGATTGTTTTTTGTTTTTTTTTATAACAGCCTCAATCTGGAAACAACCCAACCGTCCATCACCTAGTGAAAGGATAAACAAATTGTGGCACATCTACACAATGGAATAAAGAGCAAGGAACTGTTGGTACACAAAGGCCCAAACCTCAAAAACAGCAGGCCAGGCCAGAGAAAACACACACACAGAGACCACAAGAAGATCCCATTCACCGGGAATCCTGAGCAGGCAAAACTAATCTACACTGACAGGAGGCAGATCAGTGGTTGCCTGGGGCTGGGGGAGGAGGGAGGGAACTGACTGCAAAGGGATAGTGGGGTGAGGAAGGGTTGGGGTGATAGAAGTTTTCTGTATCTTGATTGTGGTGATGAGTATAAATATTTCTGAAATTCATCCCACTCACACTGAGGATGTAGCTCAGTTGGTAGAGCACTTGCCTAGCATGTGTGAGGCCCCACAAAAAGGAATTAAATAAGCAAAGTACACCTGATAATGTGTTGCTATGTATACCAGGCAGGCCTTGATCTCACAGAGATCTCTGCCTCCCAAGTGCTGAAATTAAAGGCATGTGCCACCATGCCTGGCTCTCTTGTTTTTTTAAACAGAGCTCCTAGCCCAGGATGGCTTGGAACTCCTGATCCACCTGCCTCAAGTGTGCAGGGCCACTCGGGAGGTTTATGCCTTGCTGGAGTCCACACCAGGGCTATCCAAAGGCTAGATAAGCACTCCACCAGCTGAGCTACATCCCTAACCCAGTAAGATTTGGTTTTTAAAGGACTATAAACAACTAGTGTTTTTTGTTTCAAAAGATACAAAATAATGTTCTAATATCTATTATTTATTTATTTAGCTTTTTGAAACAGGATCTCCCATAACCCAGGGTAGTCCTGAATTTGTTACATAGCTGAGGCTGGCCCTGAGCTCCCAAGTCTCTTGCCCCTGTCCCTCAAGTGCTGAGATTACAGATGTTCATCACCAAGCTGGCTAAGGGTTACCCTTCTAAGCACTCTAAATTCTAGTATAACTCTGCTTCCCCCAATGGAGAAGGACAACTGGCTGTGGTCTGAGAAACTCACTTTGAGTAGCATCTCCCTATCTCACTTGGACAACTGGTGGAGTCTCTGGTTGGTGTCCCTGCAGTCTTAGCTGGGGGTGGGAAGCCGGGGTCTGCAGGCAGGAGCAGGCTGGAGGCAAGATGAGGCTACAGGCAAGGGAGGCTGCAGCCAGGAAGGAGGAGGCGGGAGGCAGGAAGAGGCTACTGGCAGAGGAGGCAGAAGGAGGTGCAGGCAGGGGAGGCTGCAGGCAGGGGGAGGCTGCAGGTAGGAAATGCTGCAGGCCCAGGCTCACTGGGTCCTGAACACCAGCTTGCACTGTAGGTGTTGAGACCAGGCACGTCGAAGCCGGGGGACAGCCCATGTTGGTCCAGTGGGTAGAATCGTACCAGCTACCCACGCTGCGCCTCCAGCACCAGCCAGGCGTGTCCGAGCGGCAGCGCGCAGTGCTGCTGGAAGACGCGGCCGCATACGTGGCGCAGAGCGAGCGCTCGGAAGGCGGCGGGCACTAGCGCCTCGACGCGCGGCCCGAACTGGCGCAGGCGCAGCTCACCCCCGCGGCCCGGCGGCGCGCACCTCGTAGAACGTGCAGTGGGCAAAGCTGAAGAAGCCGGTGAATGGGCACGCGCGCGGGGCGGAGGGGCGGGGACGCGCTCGGCGGCGCGGAGCGCGCGCTCCAGGGCGGGCAGCAGCGAGTTCAGGGCTTCGGCCACCAGGTCTCGCGCGGACGGCCGCGGCCCCGCCAGCAGCAGCACGAGCCCCAGGCGCAGCGGCGGCACAAGTGCCAGGCTGGCTGCGTGGCGGTCCAAGTCGCCGTCCTTGCGCGCTACGCGGTATCCGGGCCGCACGTGGAACTCCCACGGCGTGCCGGTCTCGCGCGCGAAGTAGCCGTCAGGGCAGGCCTGCAGCGGGGCCAGCAGAGTGTCCAGGCCGCCCGGCCTTAGCAGCCGTCGGGGCCCGCCGCCCAGCGGCGCCGCCGCCAGCCTGGCCAGGTCGGCCGCCGTCAGTACTTCTGGCCCAACGGCTGGTATCAGCCCAGGTCGTAAAGCGGCGCGGGCTGGCCGCCGCTATAGAAACCGGAGCGCGCACCGTGCGGGTCAGCGTGAAGCCGGTGTCGCTCATCCCCAGCGGCTCCAGCACCTCCTCCGACACCCAGCGCTCAGAGTCGCCCTAGGCGGTGTGAGCCGCCGGCACGTGGGCCAGGCTCGAGAAGCCCAGCGCGCTGTAGCGGCACCTGGAGAGAGAGCAACGGGAAGGGGGTGCGCCCTGGATGTGGTCCCCAGAACAGCCTGCTGTAGTGTCGCCCAGGGGGAGAGCAAGGAGTGTGGGGATGCACACCCCCGCTCATCACTTGGGGCTTTCTGTAAGACCAGCAGTTCCCTACGAGCAGGCAGAGCTGGGAAGAAACCTGCATCTCACAGGGTCAGAGAGCACTGGATACAGGGCTGGGGATGGAGCTCAGCTGGCATACTGCTTGCCCAGTATGCACCATCCCCAGCACCACATAGAACCAGGGGTGGCGAAATAATCAGAGCTCAGGGTCAGCCTGGACTTGTTGAGATGCTGTCTCAAGAAAGATCGTTGGATGTCATTTCCCTTCCCCCATCCAAGAAGACTGAGGCCCAGAGAGATGCTGGGAATTGCTTGGAATCCCAAGACAGGCTGGGGAAGTGCCCGGGAAAGTGGTAAAAGAAATCTTATTGGTCCCTTACAGTTTTGAATGATTTACTTGGTCACATGAAAAATTAAAGTCAGACTGTTGGGAGGGGGTGATAATGACCATGTAGAACACGGATAGCAACTAGGAGGTAGTCTAGCTCTCTCTTCTAGTCCTTTCTGCCACAGTCAGTAAGAACAGGTGCAAGGTCAAGCCTCCACCCCAAGGTCATACAGGAAAGGGAGAACAGGACTCCAGCCTGCAGTTACCCAAGCTGCTTTTCTTTCTTAAGGGAAGCTGGGCCTGCGGTTCAGCATTTAGAGAGACACAGATGAAATCTGGGAAAGAGGCCTTGTCAGGGCAGGCAGGGTGGCAGGGAGTGCTCACTCGTCACCTCTACCCCCACCCCAAACTCTCAGATGGATTTCTCTGTTGAGAGGGTCAGATCATTACATGTACCCTATTCATACTCATCGTGGTGAGTCCTGTATTTGTGCTGTTTATTTCTTCACTGTGTCTCACCAGTGCAAACTGCACAAGAAGAGGCTGGGACAGATTTGTTTGCTGGTGCATCCTGGTGCTTAGCAGATTCTGGGCAGAAAATGTGCCTGCTCACTTGCTCTGGGCTTTGCTTTCTATGTCTTGTTTTGGATTTTTGTTTAGGGTTTGGTTCTTTTAGACAGGGTCTCATTATGTAGGCTAAACTGGCCTCCATCTCTCCATCTTCCTGCCTCAGTCTCCCAAGTGGTGGGATTACAGATGCGCACTATCTGTAATTACAGATGTGTTGAGGGAATGGAAGATGGGAATAGACCTGGGTTCTGGGCACATCTTTCCTGTGCTTTGCTGTGTGGAGCTCCCTGTCTGATCCTCAGGCTTTCTGGCTATAAGATGGGCTATATTCAGTGACCCTAAGATCTTCCTGGCCCTGAGGGTGAAGTACTTTCCCAGGTATGGTTGGGATTCAGGGCACACCCCTCTCCTGGTTCCTGGGTTGGCCACCAGCACATCATCCTTGAGCAGGCTCAGGGCCTCCTCGCTGCTCCCTCGCCACAGCAGTGAAGTGGAACGCCACCGTCGTGGCAGCCCTAGGGAAGAGCAGTGTCAGACCTGTCAGGCCTGTGCATTATCAGGGAAGCCCTGGTCAGTTGTCTATAGCAATGCTTCTGTTATTGTGACTTGCTAGTGTACTTTATTATTTTCTGAATTCATTTACATGATTCAAAATGCTTAGAACACAAAGGGTACACAATGAGATTTCTACCCTGCTCCCTGGTCACTGTTTCCCTTCCTCGGAGGCAAACTCTTCATCTCTTTCTTCTCTTCCAAAGATTTGTTGTTGTTTGTGGTTTTTGTTTGTTTTTTGAGACAGGGTCTCTAGCCCAGGCTGGCCTTGAACTCGCTATGTAGCTGACGATGACACTGAACTCTAAACCTCCTGCTTCAATCTCCGCAGTGCTAGGACTACAGACAGGTGCCAACATGCCTGGTCCTTCCAAAGATAGTCAATGCATCTTAAAATAATTTTTAGAACTGGTAAGATGACTCGGCAAGTAAAAGCACTTGCCAATGAGCCTGGCTTCCTGACTTTTATCCCCTGGAGCACAAGGTAGAAGGAGAGCGCCAACTCCTGAAAGTTGTCCTCTGACCCGATATACACATAAATTCAAAACTCTAAAGAAGAAATATTTTTTAATATTTTATTTATTATTTTTATCTTATGTGTATGAGTGTATTGCCTGCATATATGTGAGTGCACCCGTGTCATGCAATGCCGCGGAGGTCAGAAATATTTAATATTTATCTAATATATATGTATATTATATAATTGTGCACATTACATATGCATCATCCATATACAATTTTTTATGTGTATGAGTGTATTGCCTGAATGTGTGTAAGTGCACCTGTGTCATACAATGCCTACAGAGATCAGATGAGGGCATCGGATTCCCTAGAACTGGAGTTATGAACAGTTGTTAGCTGCCATGTGAGTGCTGGGAATTGAACCTGGGTTCTCTGCAAGAATAGCTAGTGCTCTTAACCACTAGCCAACTCTCCAGCCCTATATACAATTTTTTATGTAGTATATACTATATACACTTATGAGCTTTTTACCTACTTGACATTGTAAATGAAAAACATCATCATCATTTTTAGGGCTACATAGTGTTTGATCTCACTGTTGTATCATGGTTTATTTGGTATCCCCTATGGATGAACATGGAGGTTGTTTCTTCTTTTGTTTATTTTTATTTTATGTGTATGAGTATTTTGCCTGTGTATATGTAAATGCAGTATGTGCATGCAGTGCCCACAGAGGCCAGTAGAGGGTGTCAGATCCCCTGGAACTGTAGTTATGGATGGTTGTTAGCCACCATGTGGGTGTTGGGAACTGACCCTGGGTCCTCTGCAAGAGCAGCCAGTGCTTTTAACTGCTGAACCATCTCTTCAGCCTCTTTTTTGGTTTAATTTGGGTTTTTTTTTAATGTGTCTATGTGTGTGTTTTGCAATAGAGTCTGATGAAGCCCAGGCTGGCTTCAAACTGGGTATGTAGCTGAGGATGATCTTGAACTCCTGATCCTCCTGTCTCTGCCTTTGAATGCTGGGATTGCAAGGCGTGCACCATTGTAGCAGTGAATAACTGGGGGTGAGCACATCTTGGTAGAATTTCCTGGAAGTGAAATTGCCAGATCAAAGGGTATCCTAGTTGCTTTTTGTTGTTGTAGTAAACCAAAAGCAACTTGGGAGAGGAAGAGGTTGATTTTCGCCTACAGGTTGCTGTCTATCACTGAGGGAAGTCAGGGCAGGAGCTCAAGACAGGAACCTGGAGGCAGAAACTGAAGCAGAGACAATGGAGGAACACTGCTTACTGGCTTGCTTTCCTGGCTCACTCAACTCCTTTTCTTTTTTAAAAAATATTTTATCTATTATTTTTATTTTATGTGTATGAGTGTATTGCCTGCATGTGTGTGAGTGCACCCATGTTGTGTAATGCTGCTCTTAACCACTGAGCCATCTCTTCAGCCCCTCAACTCCCTTTCTTAGACAGCCTGCCCAGTCAGGGATGGCACTGCCCACAGTGGACTGGGCCCTCTAGCATCAATTAGCAACTATGAAAATGCCTCTAGGCCAGTCTGATCTGGGAAATTCCTCAGTTGATGTTCCCTCTTCCCAGGTGACGCTGGGTTTGTGTCAAGTTGACAGGTAAACCTAACTATGACAAAAAACACATATTTTAGTTTTCTTTATTGGTGATGGGGCCAACCCAGAGCTTTTTGCATACCAAGTGCAAAGTCTACAGCTGAGCTCAAGCCCCAGCAAACTGTGATAAACAGCCAGATGTGATGCTGATACCTGTGATCCCAGCACTTGGGAGGTGGAAACAGGACAATCAGGAGTTCAACATCATCCTCAGCTACACAGAATGTAAAAACAGCCTGGGCTGTGTGAGACCCTGTCCCAAAACAGAAAAGGAAAAATTGTGATTAAATATTTCCAGGTACCTTCCATAAAGGTTTTACCTGTTTATTTATATGGGGGTCATCAACTTAAGCCCCCCCACATTAATATAGACAATGCCCATTGTCTCCAGGACCTCCCAATGCACTACAGCCTTGATTTTTTTTTTTGAGACAGGGTCTCCCTGTAGCCACAACTGGCCTGGAACTGGCTATGCAGACCAGGCTGGCCTCGATCTCACAGAGATCCACCTGCCTTTGCCTCCCAAGTGCTGGGATTAAAGGCATGCACCACCACACCCGGCTTGCATTCACGTTTTTTATCTTTGCCAGTCTGACAGGGAACATGTGCCTTATTTAGTTTAAATTTGGATTTATTTTGCAGTGAGTGAGTTAGCATCTTTTCACATTTATTTTTTTAATATTTTATTATTTTTATTTTATGTGTATGAGTATATTGCCTGCATGTACATAAGTGCACTCATGTCATGTAATGCCCATGGAGGTCAGAAGAGAGCATCAGATCCTTAGAACTGGACTTATGGATAGTTGTTAGCCGCCATGTAGGTGCTGAGAATCAAACCCAGGTCTTCTGCAAGAGTTGCCAGTGCTCTTGACTGCTGAGCCATCTCCCCAGCCCCCTTTTCACATTTCTTAATATTCCTCAGAGCCTGTTCTGTGGCATGTCAGCTTTGTCCCCATCCTTGTCTATGTTCCCTGTAGGCTGTGGATCAAGTAGCCTTCCAGAAGATCTTTATGTGTGTTCAAGGAGTGTGGGTCTTCACTGTAGACTTGCCTAACAATTTTAACTTTTTGCTGTGTTGTTGATATGACACATAGCTCCTGACCCACCAACTTGATTTTCACCTGTGAACTTCTTTCTCTGCCTCATCTATTCCCAGGGTTTGGGACTGTAGAAAGAGCTCAGTTGGTAGATTGCTTGCCTACCATGAAACCCGAAGTTCCACCCCCAGTACCACATAAACTGGATGTGGTGGCACACACCTGTAATCTCAACACTTGGGAGGTAGAGGCAGGAAAATCAGAAGTTCAGGGTCATTCTGGACTATAACAAGTTTGAGCCAGTCTGGGCTACATGAAACCTTATCAAAAAAAAAAAATTCTCAGAGCTAGAGATGGTTCAGTGGTTAAGAGTGATTGCTGCTCTTCCAGAGGACTGGAGTTCAGTTCCTAGCACACACATTGGACTGTTCATAGTTGCCTGTAACTCTAGTTCCAGAACTCCAGGGGATCTGAAGCCCACTTCTGGCCTCTGTGGGCACCCACACATAGCTTTTATCACACACACATACATACAATGTTTAAAATAGATTTTTAAAAACTTCAAAGTAACTGGGTGTGGTGGCGCACGCCTTTAATCCCAGCACTCCGGAGGCAGAGGCAGGTGGATCTCTGTGAGTTCAAGGCCAGCCTGGTCTACATAGTGAGTTCCAGGACAGCTGGGGCTATAGAGAGACCCTGTCTCAAAAAAACCAAAAAAAAATTTTTTTTCAAAGTTTACCTACATTCTTTCTACTCTGGCCATGACCCGACGGCCTGTGGGTTGGAAGTACAGCCATTCAAGAAATAGTAGGGACCTGGTGGGTGGGAACCTGTGCCCTATGCCTGCCCCCAGACCCCTCTAACATGGTTTGGCTCAGTTGGGTAATTCACCTGAGAGCTGGCTGGCCACCCTCCGGAGGATGACAGGAGAAGGCTTTGAGATGGGGCCAACATCTTCAAACTCTCCAGTTGGGCCCTGTGGTTTGGGTTCTGGGGCCACACCCAGTGGGTTGTTGATGGAGAAGGTGCTGTCATAGTGCCCCATAGGGTCATCCAGGGAGGTCATGATGCCCTCCTCCCGCAGGCAGTACAACATGAGCACTGGGAAGATCTTAGAGATGGCTGAAGATCCTGTGTGAGGAGGACACAGGTGCAGAGAGTACCACATCAGCTCCCAGCCCACTCCCTATTCTGTGCCCAGACTCCAGCCACTTACAGTCTAGAAAAGCACTGACTGTGCCCTAGTCAGCATCTCAGGCTGAAATCCTCAGCCTCTGTGGATGCTTAGAATGTACCAGAAGCTGGGGTGGGGTGCCTGGTTCAGCACCAGCCCCATGCCAGGCCCTCCACCAGGCCCTGCCCATGCTGCGGTGGACCTGGCTTTAGTGGTGGGTCCTCTCTGTCTCATTGGCTGTGTGGCCTTGTGCAAACTACTAGACTAGACGTTTCTGAGATTTCACTGTAAGCGTCACAGGATGTAAAGAAGGTTGAAGGGACGTGTGCGTACGGAGTGCTCAGCATGCCAGGAGGTGATGAGTACTCGGTAATCAAGGCAATCAGAGCTCTGGGCCCCAGGCCTGGCACCACAGAGATGCAGTGTGAAGGCTAAATGCCACCTCCAGATCCCTGCCATCCCTACAGCATCCCTGGGAGCAAATGTAGCTTTGAGAACTCTGCACACAGCACCCAGGAAGGGAGGGTCTGGGTGTGCAGCCTAGTGTCCTAGTTGCTTTTAACTGGGCCAATCCTGGACTGTAACAAATTTGTGCCAACTTGGGCTACATAAGACCTTATCCAAAAAAAAAAAAATTCTCAGGGTTAGAGAGATAGTTCGCAGGAACCTGAAGCAGGGCCAGGAGCTGGTTCTGGGGAGAGGACTAGGATTTTCCTTTTCCCATTTTACCTGTAACACCTGTGGTATAACACTCTGCACTCACTGGTCCTCTCTGGACCTCTGTCTCCTCTCCTATAGAATTTTTAGGACAGAGCCATGGGCCCTAGCAGCTGGGACAGCAACCACAGTCCCTTAAGTCTTCCTGCCTCTATCTATTTGCCCTGCCACCCCCCCTCAACCGGACCCTAGAGGTCATCCAACTGACCAGTACATGGTGTACTCATTAGGGGGCCCAGAATTTGGGACTGAGCCATTCTTCTTCCCAAAGCTCCCCATCCAGAGCACGGTGTCATTGGGGATAACAAATGCAGACAAGGCAGCCAGGCCTGGGGCCGACATTGCCTGGCACAGGATCCCATCCACCTTTGGGAATAACATGAGCTCAGAATGTGTGTGCAATGACAGCCCCCTGCCTGTACCCTTTGGTCCTTCTGCACACCTGCCCATTCCACAGCTGTACCCCAGCACGTGGTACCCCAGGAGCCTCCAGACCTTGAGTTCCCCACACCATGTCCTGTGGGAGTCTGGCTTTGCTCAGCAGCCCCCCTTCAGTCTGCATTAGACATAAAGAACCCCGAAGGGTGTTTTGTTTATGTATGTGTGGTGTGGTCTGTGAGTGTATGCATGTTCCCATGTGTGTGGGTGCCACATGTATGTGGAGACCAGAAGTTAACATTGGGCATCTTCATCAGTCACTCTCCACATTTATATATTGGGGTCTCTTATTTGAACCCACAGCTCACTGGTTTGGCTAGTCTGTCTAGCCAGATTGCTCCAAGGATCCTGTCTCTGCCTCCCAAGCACTGGGATTGTAGGCAGTACCATAACCACCCAGCATTTCCACGGGTGCTGGGGATCCGAACTGTGGTCTTCAAATTTGCTCGACAAGTGCTCTAACCATTGAACCATCTCCTTATGCGTCCCTTTAGTCAGTACCAGACACCTTGCCCCATGGCTTTACCTACCCCGTGGTAAGCTCTGCCTCCCTCATTTCCATGTGCCCTAACTTGGTCTCTTTCAGCCTCTGCCTCCCCCTGTGTAGACAGGGTTTGTACATGTGCACAAAGAGCTCACCACAGCCCACAGCTGATGTCAGAGCCCTTGGTAGAAGGTTATTGCTGCTTTGTCTTTGATTCCTGTGACCCTGTGCCATGTACTATATTTATGGTAAATTGTCATGTGCTGCTTAAGCTCACTGAGAAGCAGGCTGTGGAAGCACGGTTCCCCTCCCCATTTCATGTTTTCCTCAAAGTGTCCCCCAAGACCTCTGTCTGGAGATGGGCTGGCCCCCCTGGCTCTGTAACAGGAAGACTGAGGAACAGAAAACCAGCCCAAGAGTAAAAGCATCACATCCTGGAGGACAGCCAGAAGGTAAACATTCCCAGCAGAGGCGACTGTTGCACATCCCATGATAGAAAAGTGCCTGTGGTGGGGAAGAGAAGCTGGGGGAAAGCTTAGCAGGGAGCTCCAGCTGACTGCCTCAACCTCCCCAGTCGGATTCTGCTGGATGTGGCAAGTGCCCACTTTGATGGTGGTACCTTTGTTTGCTCTCAGGCAACTGCAGTCGGGTTCCTAATTTGATGGTGGCCTGCTGCTAGCTGCTAATTGCTATTTATCTTTGACTTTGGCTTGCTGCACCCTTCATAAATTCATTCATTCAAGCTGCCAGAGATCATTCTCCAGACTGTACAGAACAATCCCTGGGGCTCACGTAATGTCTCTGCTCCCTGTCCTCCTCACTAAAGCTTCTTGGGCATCGGCAGAGAGCCACCAAGTCTTCTCAGTGGCCCATCACACCTTCCCTTCTGTGAACTCATCATCCCTTTCCTTCTGCTGGTCCTCAGAAGGCAGGGTCAAGTCCCCCCTCACACAGCTGCTGGTATGCTTCTGAGCCTGTTCCCTCTGTCTCTCTCTGTGTCTCCTAAGGTGAGTGGCTGACGTGGCAGGGTCTGACTGGTGCAGAGCAGAGTCATCCTAGGGTGCAACAAGTCGGGCTGTTGTGTGTGCATCTGTGTGTGAGTGTATCTTTGGATGTGTACCTGCGCATGTCACTTGTATGTGTGCACTCATGTGTATGCCCCTTACGTGTACGCCTATATGTATGCACCTGTATGTTCATCTGTGTATGTACTTCTGTGCACCTGTGTATGTGCAGCTCTATGTGTGCACCTATGTGTGTGTGCATGGTGTATGCACTTGTGTGTGCACTTGTATGTACCAATATGCATGCATCTTTGTGTGTGCATGGTGTATATATGTGTGTATACCTGTGTGTGTACCCGTGTGTGTACTCGTGTGCACCTGTGTGTACAACTATGTGTGTACACAGCATATGTACCTCTGTATACTGTGTCTGTACGTGTGTGTGAACCTGTGTATGCACCTGTATAGGGTGTGCACCTGTGTGTGCGTGTGTGTGAACCCTGTGAATATGCATCTCATACCCCTTACGTGTGTGCATCTGTGTGTGCGCTTGCAGAGGGTGTGTGCCTATGTGTGTGCACCTGTGTATGGCCACCTTGGGGGTTGCATGCATGTGACCATATTGCAGTGGCCTCTATGATGTGAACTATCATCCTCTCTTACCTTATCTTTCCCCACCTCCCCTGTGTGTCTTTCCAGTCATCTGTATGTGGCCTGTGCTCACTCCACTGCCCCAGGGCCTTTGCAGGTGTCAGTCCTTCTGTTCAGCATGCCCCTGTATCCTCCAAGCTTCCCCACTGTACATAGGTCATCTGGTTATCTCTTGTCTGCTCACATCTTAGTCTAGACACCTATAGAGCTGGCTTGCCCCCAAGGTTGCACATCTGGGTCCCACAGTCCCTGAAAATTTCCTAACCCTCACTCTTGCACCTGCATCACAAATGTTTGTTATCGTGACTGATCCCTTCACCTACAAACTGACTTGTACTTTCTTCTTTTTGAGACATGGTCTTGCTACATAGCCTTAGCTAATGGCTGGAACTTGGAGTGCTCCTGCCTCTGCCTCTCGAGTCCTGGGATTCCAGACACAGAGCAGGCACTCCATAAAATACATGTTGAGTGAGAGAATGAATGAATATCACAGCACAGAGGGCATGCCCCTCCTCCCCCAGTATCACTGTACTCCCAGTGTCCTCCTGGGTCATCACTCACCTTAGCCAGTGCCTCCTTCAGCACTGGGAGGGGGTGAGCCAGAGGCACAAGCTCAGGGTGCCGGGGACACATTCTCACAGGGAGAGGGGTCACCTCTGGCTTCAAGGAACCTGGAGGGAACATCACAAGGTAGTAGGGCACAAGGTAGGGGTGTAGGAGTCATCTTAGAGGAGAGGAAGACGGCAGCAAAGGTCAGAGCCTCCTCACCTTGGGGATGGTCCTCCCAGCCAGCAGGAGCTTTCCCAGGAGACACTGCACTGAGAGCCAAGGTTCAACGGCACCCGTTGCTCAGTCTTCAGGATTGTGTCCCTGCTGGGTTCTGCCCTCCCTCCCTCAGCCTCCTTGGGACAGGCTTGGCCATATCCATCCTCTGTCCGTAGGCCTCACACTAGTTTTGTATGTTGAGGTGAAGTGGACTCGGCACCCAGGCCTCTGAAGCAACAAGGACAGTTCATTCCATCCCCAGGTGGCAGGTCACAGTGGTGACAGGTCTGCCTTGTCCAAGGAGTGGCTACCACAACATGGACAGGTCTGGATATATTGGCCCTGAGAGCAAGAGACCCCAGGGAAGCTACTGTTCCAACTTCATTTACGAGAGCAGGTTAGACCAGCAGCAGGACTGTCAGCCCTAAGAACCATGAGAAATAATCAACAGGTGGGTTCGGGGGCACTTATTTTTTCCTTTTGGTGATGGGTATGGACCCTGGGGCCTTGCACATGCCAGGCAAGTGCTCTACCACTAAGCTACATCCCTAGCCCCTGGAGTGGTTTATTCCTTAGCCACAGATAATCAAGTGGATGGGGTAGTTCTTGGATAGAGTCTTAGCCTTGTCATCTTGGAGCCTGGGTGGGGTTGGCATCCACAGCCAGGTGTCTATCATGTGCCTTCCACAGATAGCACCTTAAATGCATTTTAAGAAAATGCAGAATTGAGTCAGTAGATCTGGGCAGGGCCTGACAGTGCACACTTTTCACCAGGGTTTTGTGGGGGAGGGGGCAGAGTCTGTCTATAAGCCCAGGCTGGCCTCAAATTTGCCAGCCTCCTGCCTCTACCTCTCCATTGCAGGGATTATAGGCATGTATCGCGATGCCTGGTGATTGGTCATCTATGTGCACGTATGTGTGCGTGCCTGTAGCGGTCAGATGACAACCTCCGCTGTTAGTCTTCAGACACCAGCCATCCTTTTGGGGGGACGAATGGGGGTCTCACTGAACTGGAACTTGGCAGGTTGGCCAGGCTGGCTCTCTAGCAAGCCCCAGGAACCCTCCTTGTCTCTGTGTCTCTAGCACTGGCATTGCAAGTGTGTGTCACCATTCCTGCCTTTTTATGAGGGTGCTGGGAATCTGAACTCAGGCCCACATGCTTGCCCTGCAAGCACTTTACCAACTGAGCTGTTTCCTAGCCCAGCTGCTTACTTGTCACACCCCCCTAAATATCTGAGAGAGGGCACGGGCCTGGATTATGTGGTTTGTGGGTCACAAAATGTTTAATATTTGTGACAAGTTAAATACAAAGTTGGGGAAGTTGGCATGGGGGTGCACCATGTGTATTTATGTGGGAGTGAATATGGGTAAAAGCCGCAGGCCCATGAGAAGAGGAAAAGGCTTGAAAGGAGAAGTCTAGGGAGAGCAATAGAACACATATGACACGAATGTGTAAGGGGAAATACTGGGGGTGGAAGGGTTTAAGTGGGGAACAGAGAAATGAGGCAGAGAAGTAGATCAGGGAGAGGGTCAACCAATTAAGAAAATATCATTTAAAAATCTGCTACTTCGCTGGGCGTGGTGGTGCACATCTTTAATTCTGGTACTCGGAAGGCAGAGGCAGGCAGATCTCTGTGAGATCGAGGCCAGCCTAGTCTACTTTGTGAATTCTAGGCCAGCTGGGGCTACAGGGAGACACTGTCTCCAAAAAAATTGGGAGAAAGACTTTAGAAATATATATATATATATTACATTTATTTATTTACTTATGTATTTGTTTATTTGTTTTTTATGGGGTGGCACAGGTACCATGGTGTGTGTGTGTGGAGTTCAGAGGACAACTTGTAGGAGCTGGTTCTCTCTTCTACCTTGTGGGTTCCGGGGATTGAACTCAGATCATCAGGCTTGATGGCACTTTATCTGCTGAGGCATCTTGTCAAGACTTTGGAAATTTTACAGCAGTTTGGCAGTAATTTCACATCTGCTGATTCTGAACCCACAGACAGGCTTCTGTTTCAAACGCCTTCTCGTAGTTTCCCCTAACAATTCATTTTCAAGGACTTAGTCCATCCCGTCCATCACGAGTTCGTTGATAGTCTGAGCAGCCTGCCTCTCTGGCTTGAGCAACAAAGAAGGTCCTTGTAAAAGGATTTACCCCAGACAGGGCCAGAGTGGGAGAGGGAGGGACTGGAAGGACTGCAAGAGGGCCACGTCTGCAGAAGGCTCTGTGGGACCCTGGGAGTCCCGGACATCCTGCTGAGCCCGGACAGTGGCAACTTGAGTGACAGGACTGGAAGAGGTTGTTTCACTGTGGTGGAGACGTGAGGCTCTGGACCATCCAGGAACCTGGCCGGTTGGAGGCCCCAGAGTTGCTATAGCAACAGAGGGTGGTGTCCATTACAGGGGTCATGGCTCCTTTGCTGGACATGGACGCTTGTGAGTTGTCCCTCTGGAGCTCCTAGACAGAGTGGGAGGGTCTTTGGAGGGGGCAAGGGCTGGGCGGGCCTACCGAACAAGGGAAACATCACTTTAAAATATTTGTATTTGTGTGTGTGCAAGTCATGGCACACCTGTGGAGGTCAGAGGACAACTATGGGGTCAGTTCTTTCCTTCAAATGGGTTGTGGGGATTGAACTCAAATTGTCAGGCTTACAAAGCAAGCACCTTTACCCACTGAGCCATCTCGCCAGCCCCTGTTTGCACCTCTGGGGAACGTTAAGTTGTTCTCCCAAGTTGGATGACTTAGGAAACCTTGGTGGTAGTAATGTCTTCTTTATTTTTTATTTTTTTTGAGACAGCCTCCCTGTAGCCCCAGCTGACCTGAACTTGCTATGTAGACCAGGCTGGCCTTGAACTCACAGAGATCCACCTGCCTCTCCCTCCTGAGTGCTGGGATTAAGGACATGTGCCACTAGGCTTGGCATGTCTTCATCTTAAACACAAGGCCCAGAATGTTCATATGACCAGCCCAGAGACACACAGTGAGGCCTGAAGTGAAAACGGACCGAGCGCCTGAGTCTAAACCTTCCAGTGCTCCCACACCATCTGATCCCCGGCAGCTCCAGCCTAGGGGTGCCCACACTTGCAGGAGTGGGTGTGACCCACGCAACGGCTTCTTCACTCACCAGTCTGCAGCTTAGGGAGGTGATACTACCACAGGAAGCAGCTGGTCATGGCTACTGAGAACAGGAAGAGGAAGCTGCTGAGGGCTGGCAAGAACCATTTTTTTCTTCCCTTTCAGTAGGTGGGGCTGCCAGCAGGCCTGGAGGAGCCAAGGGCACAGGTCATGGGGTTGAGGGTCAGCCACAGTGCCACCTGAGAAACAGGTCCTCCCAGGCAAACACTTCAGCAGCTCTGCACACCTGGTCTGGCCCTGGTGCCTTTACCTTACCTCACCCCACACATGTGTTTATCAATATATCCTAAAATCAGTGAAATACTGCCTCCTCCAGGAAGCTTCCCCCACCTCGCCTCACCTGTGTCCCTCCCAGGACCAGACCTGCCAAGGGATGAGAATTGAAACTCAGTAGAACACTGTCGTACCCCCTCCCTGGCCCACTGTTAGCTGACCTCCCTGACCAGCCTTCCAGGCTGGGGCCACCTGTCTACTTTCTCCCTGACTGCGGCTTCTGGTTTGTCTTGGTTGTGCAGTTATATTTGTGAGGTGTGCACCGTGGGTCCTGACACACCCCACATCTGGAGCACCTGCCTCTCTCACATCTCTAGGTTTCTGATCTTGAACCTGGGCTGGAGCCCCCAGCAGATGTGCATGAAGCTTCCCAGCATGTGGATGTTGCTCACTGTGGTGGATGGTTCTGGAAGGCTGGTCACCATGCTGTGCTTCCAAAATGGGTAGAAAAGCCTTTGCAATGAAAAGTGATTTGTTTGGGAAACAACACGAGGCAGGTGTGGGTTGGGGGGCTGGCAGGGCTGGCAGCAGGGGACGGGTCCTGAAGCCCTGACAGGAGGGAAGATGAGGAAGCTGAGGTGGGGGCCAGCGATGACCTTGTGCTCTGCACTGCCAACCTAGGCGCCTGGAGACACAGGTGGCCTCCCAGTGGATACTAATGAATCCCTGACGTGGAGATGCACCTCTCAGAGTGTCATAGAGTTATAATAAAGAATAGAACCTGCCTCTAGGTGCCCTGGACTTCTTAGGAGTTCATCTAGTTGGGTGGGTCAAGGCCCTGGCTACAGACCCACCCCTAGGAAGGCAGGGTCACCTTAAAATGATGTGCTTCTCCTTCCCCAAATTCCCACTCCTTAACACAGTCCCTGTGAGCTGCCATGAGGTTTGGCTGGGTCTTTCTGAGACAGGACTCAGACTTACTTATTCCTCTCTTGCTTCTTCTGTCTTTTTCTTTCAGGTGCTGGCCAGAACCCAAGCCTGCTTTCCCTGGGACTTAGGCTTCCTCCTCTAAAGCTCCTTTCCCCACCAAGTGGCTCCCCTCCATGCCAGCTTATCTCAACCACATGGCATTTGTTCCCTCTCTCCTCCATCATCCTTCTCTGGATAGCTGTGACAATGATGGCTTGCCTGCCCTGGGATTTTTCTTTTAAACTCTAATAATTGTCCTCAAGCTTCCATTTGAGCCCATTCTTAATTTTTTTAAAAAAATATTTCATTTACACCAGGCATGGTGGCACATGCCTTTAATCCCAGCACTTGGGAGGCAGAGGCAGGCGGATCTCTGTGAGTTCAAGGCCAGCCTGGTCTACATAGGGAGTTCCAGGACAGCTGGGGCTACAGGGAGACCCTGTCTCAAAAAGACCAAAAATTTTTTTTATTATTTTTATTTTATGTGTATGCATGTATTGCCTACATGTAGGAAAGTGTACCTATGTTGTGCAGTGCCCTCAGAGGATAGAAGAGGCTGTCAGATCTCCTGGAACTAGAGTTACAGACAGTTGTTAGCTGCCATTTGGGTGCTGGGATTCAAACCCAGTCTTCTGCAAGAACAATCAGTGTTCTTAACCACTGAGCCATCTCTCCAGCGGCCCCCCCCCCATTCTTAATTTTTTTCATTAATGACACTAAGAATCCCAAGAGGAGGTTGGAGAGATGGTTCAGTGGTTAAGAGCACTGGCTGCTCTTGCAGATGACCCAGATTCGATTCCCAGCACCCACATGGTGGCTAACAACCATTCATAACTCCAGTTACAGGGGATCTGATACCCTCTTCTGACCTCCTCGGGCATTGCATGACATGAGTACAATTCCATACATGCAGGCCATATACTCATAAACATAAAAAAAATAAAAAGAATAAATAAAATTTTCCTAACCAGGCCAAGAGAGATGTATGTTGCGGACAGCAAGACTGAGGGACTGAGCCAGCTAAGCCCTTTGGAAGTAAAGTCCCAGACACCCAGCACGGAGCTGCAGGATGTAATGTTTTGCCTTGCTGAGTTCTGATCTTGTTGTGGTCCCGTAATTCTGTACCATGTTCCCATTCCTACCTTCACGAATGGGAGTGTGTATCCTGTGCCATTGTGTGCTTGAAGGGGAAAGAAACACACCTATGTATTTAATGTCAAAAAAACTCCAAAGAATTCCAAGGGGGACCCCAATTTCCCCAATATCATATGGTGGCTCTGCAGGGACTCCCCAGGATGTCTGGAAACACCTCTTTCCTGCCTTTTAATTCTTTTTTTAAAAATATTTTATTTATTATTTTAAAATTTTTTTATGTGTATGTGTGTATGCATTGCCTGCATGTATGTAAGTGGACCTGTGTCATGCAATGCCTGCGGAGGTAAGAGGGAGTTGGATTCCCCTGGAACTGGAATTATCGACTTTTGTTAGCTGCTACATGGGT